CCTCCCTCCCTCCCCCTCCTCCCTCCCCTTCCTAGATACCTCCCTCTCTCCTCTCCGTCTCCCATTCTCTCACTCGCTCACCCACTCTCACTCATTCATTTGCTCGCTGCAAGTAGCTCTCTATACTCGTACAATCTTCAGAGTTTAGTCAAAGTCCCTTTTAGATGCTTGGGCAACTGCTAGAGCAGTTTCGACTACTACCCCGCAGTTAGCATGTTCATGTAACGTATCCCACCGCTACAGTACATGTCCACGCCAGTCAAAGAGCTCAAACAACACCGCAACAGTAACCACAACCTCACATGCCCCAGTAGCCCACATCTTGCGCACTGCGAGCTGGGCAGTAGTGTCGACATGTCGAGATGAGCGCGGGCTCCACACAGTGTCCAAATCGTGACGGTTCATGGCCGGGGAAGGGATTGTGCCGCACAAGACATCCCAATTAAAAGTGCCTATCGTGACAACTCGGGCTATGAGGTCCGAGTGATGGAGGCAGATGGAAGTTAGGAACAAATTTGCCTTGTTGATCACGAGACATTCCAAGCACCATCCAGACTGCCAGACTGGTCTTGAAGTTTGCGCACAGCTGGAGTACCTATGTGCTGGCCTCAACCATGTTTTGACACGAGCTGGTCTGCATGCAGTGCTTCGAAGCAATCTTCGGCATACAGCTGCATGAGATGTCTGACTCTGCTGGCATTCTGCTCACGGCACGGTGCATTGACCTGTTTGCGATCTGTGTTGTTGCATACCTTGGACGTCGAGTGTGACTCTCTTCATTCAATTTCCCAGCTCTGTGGGCACGCAGGAGTTGACTGCTTTCTTGACCGACGGCACCTGCGATGCTGGTGGCTGGATCCCGAGAGCCAACACGTCACAGTGCTTGGGCTCACGGCTGTCTTTACAGATAGGCGATGAATCGCACTTGGCTTCAACACCTGCAGGCAAGTTTCGCAGAGTCCCGACGCTCTATGGCGTCTGGGCAGTCCTGGCTCGAACTGTCGCAAGCGGCAGATAGTCGTGAGGTTTAGATTGCCATGAGGGTCTCATTTAGCATCAGGACCACAGGGTTGGGATTGACGCTCGATTCCTGCGAAGCCTTTGTGTCCTTGTGAGACAGCCAGGGTTACAAGCAATGTCTGATTCTTGCTCCTGCCATGTGCGCAACGAAAGCCATTTTTTTGCAACATCCAACTCTAGACATGTGCCAGGCAACCACGCCGTCTCAGCACCGGCACCTGTTCGTGAGCGGAGCCAAGTGATGCGATGAAAGTAGACTGGACGGGCCTGTAGCATTCCGCGAATAAAGTTGCTGGGTCTCGGCGTTGCCGAGGCTTCGGCGGGCAGGGACCCTCGAGAGCCTGGCTTGATGGCTTGGGGCGCAGGCCCGATGAGGCCTTGGGATCCAGGGACTTTGGACATGAATTCGAAAGCTCTGAGGCTCGCTGTCTTGCACAGGGGGTTTGGGCACGGAAGCGGACAGCAAAGCCGTCCCTGATCTTACAGCAAGGGCAATTGACAGAAGCTTCTCGGCCCAAAGTAGGATTTCATCCATGGCAAGTGGGGGCAAACAGTTCGGATAGCAGAGGCAGACACCACCTCGTTGTTCCATGGCCGTACACCGTTTCATTCGGACAGGAGCATATCAAGTCAGCACACAAATCCTAGTAATTTGTGGGTATTCAGTGATACAGTGATACCCATGCCTCGTTCCGACGGCCCAGACATGGCAGAAACAGGACATGTATGTCGTGATGTCTGAATCCAGCCATATCAAACCATAACTGTTTACGCAGCCATTTTGCCGGTTTTCACGTTTGCTCGTCTTCGGCGATGGCAGAGCAGGTGGGGATCAAGATAGTAAACGAGTTATATACGTCTGCTTAAGGCTCTGCAGACACAAATTTCAGGGCCTTGACAAGGAGCACTGCGTGAAATTCTTGTCCGAGCTTTGCCTACTCAGGCAAACTCCTTGCTGACGGTGCTGCCCCCGGGTCCCAAGGCAGGGCGTGCTGTGGCAGCCTCTACCTTCCCTTTGAAGTCTCCCTAGGTGGAGGCTGGAGCCGATGATCTGCTCTTCGACATCGGCTTGCAAGATGCAAGCGTCAGGGGCCCAGCCGAAGTCAGTTCTGCGAGCCTTCCGCTGGTTGGGGCTCCGAGGATCCTGCTACGGCCTCCACCGCCGCGACAGCTTCAAGACCCAGCCGCCAGGAGGGGAAGTTCCTCAAGGAGGATGCTTCGCAGCGGCCAGTCAGACCTTTCTTGGCAGGCGCCTCCTGCCATAGAAGTCGGCGATGTGGGGGACATCGGTGTCCTCGAGGCTTCTATGCTTTCTGTGCAGAGCTCTGTGCACTTCTCACCTGGCAGGGTTCGGAGTCTGGTGAGAGCGTCGCCTCTGCCGACTTGCTACAGCTCATCCAGCAGGTCTGCCCACAGCCGTAGTCGCTGCAGTAGCACTGGAGCATATAATAAGCGCAAGGGATGTCAGGGTCCAGATCTTCCTGCAAAGGTGATCCTGAATCCGAAGATATACTGAACTGGTTGGGTTGATGAATGAGGATTTGAGTGCCGGTTTTGGGCTTGAATAAATGGGAGCTGATTCGTAGACTTCCGGAAGCCGTATCGCATTCCCATTCATATCCTAATTTCATTGTGTGTCGCGCCGCGTGAATGCACTGAATGAGCCACTAGGTTACCACACAAAATTGGTTAAGCATCTGCTTTAGAAAAACCGGCTTCGTGCGCGGGTAGGTTGGCAACTGGAAATTACCGGTTGACACGCGGATGCCAGCATGTTGTCCGTGGCAGTGAATTGGTCGTTCGTTTACAACCCTGACGTGTCACACCCACGTACGTAAGTGCCGAAAATCAATATGCAACGCAGTTCCACTTCGCATCTAGGGACGTGTGTGCCATGGGTACGGGCAGCAACCTCGGGAGAAATTCGGCCTTGCGATTAGCACACCAAGGGTCCTGCTTCAGCCGGTTCATTTTGAATCAAGCCCTTGATTCAGAATGAACTCGTGCCTCAATGTTGCTGAATATAGCTCACACCGCATCTATTCAAGCAGCTGCGAGCAACTGATGAGCCAGAAACTGAATGTTGAGTCCTTTGGGGTTGGGACGAAAGTGACTCTTCAGCGTTGGGTGTTCAACTTTTGAGGTGGGTGATCGGATGCTTGTGGTCAGGTGCGTGACGGATGTTTCTGTCGGTGCTTGTTGGAGTTCAGATCGTTGCATATTGTATGCTGTCCCCCCTCTCAGTCCCTCCCTCCTTCCCTCCCTGCGCCCGTTTCTTCCCCGTGTGCATGCGTACATCTCCATGTGTTTGATGTCTGAGTTTTGGCCTTTGCAGGCCAGCGAGGTGGAGATCAGCTCGGACTCCGCTGAGTCTCGCAAGGAGGCCAGGACCTAGCTTGCGGGTGTCGGGTGTTCAGAGAAGGGCTAGTCGTGGCTTTGAGATGGTGAGGGCCGGGTCCACGAGACTCCAATCCGGCAGGATGTTGCATGCTGTTGTAGTGACCTGTGCCACATGAGCACTGCGGCACTGGAGCCCCACTCCGACCGCGGCCGAGGCCCCCACCCAGCCCGCCCCGGAGCCGGAATCAGCGGACTCACCGGCCATGCCCTCGATTAAGGTCGAGGCGGTGATGTGAGGGTAGATGCTGGTGCGAAAAAGGGGTGTGCTTAAGGGCGAGTTGTCAAGAGGCTAGCATCGAGGATGTCTTTCGGAATCGGGTAGTTCTCGCATCTCAAGTCTATGCACGTATTCCTGTACAGTGCAGGGGTGCGGCCGGAACCATTCAACCGGACACCATCACAGCCTTCTGGTCTTCATTGTGCCCACCTGTCAAGCTGGTGCACAGGCTGTGGCAGACGTGGAGGTTGCCCATGCAGCACAACAGGAAGGAGTCGTGCGCGATGCTCGTCCCAGCGAGGAAGCTGCTCCAAGATCACTTGGTCACGCTGAGGAGGACCCGCCCACTTCGGTCTCGATACTGTTGGCTGTAGGTGAAGGGAGAGTGCCATGATTGAGGAGGCAAGCAGATGTGAGTGGCAAACGGTTGCGCTGACTTGCAAGTGCTGTGTGTCGTCTGTGCTTGTATTTATACCTATGTGTCGGCACATTATACATCATACAATATCATATAATGTCATATTGAATCATATGAATCATATCATACCGTGACATCCCATCCGACCTCATCTCATCTCATGTCACTCATGCCATTTTGTGTCGCGTCATGCCATATCATCACACTACAGTACCAACAAAGGACTAGCATGAATATTCGTGTTAATGTTAGAACATATGTGACTACGGTTTTTAGTTTATGTTTTTTTTGTTGTTGTTGTAGTTTTCTCTATCCAGTTTCATACCATGTCATGCTATGTTATATAATATGGTATTGCATTATGCTGTGGTATACTCTGTCACATTGGACTGTTTCGTTGTATTGTATTATATTAGGTTTATATTAGGTTATGTTATATGAGAATATACTGTGCTCAGGCATGTCATTTTGCTTTGTAATAAGAGTAATGAAGTAGGCGAATATCAGTATAAACATCAATATCAACATTAATGTTGATGCTCAGGTTATCTACTGACACGGATATTGATATCACGTTAATCTGAGTATGAGTTTTGTTTTCTTACGCTTATTATACAACATTGTATGACATTGCGTTGTATTGTACTGCATTGTGCTATATAAAATACAACTATGTTATATTGTGTTTTGCTTATTCTATGTTGCTATACCACACCGTGCTTTGCCATACTATGTTACGTCATAGTATGTTATAGTACGATTTCGTGTTTCATGACATTGTGTCATACTCCTTCATATTGTCCCGCTCTGTTACAGTCTGTTGTGCTGTTGGCGTCTTTCCTTTTTACTGATGCCTGCCTTATGTTATGAGTTTTATGTTCTGCTATGTTATGTTATGCAATCATAAGTTATGCTATTCCTTATAGTCGAATGTAGGATGTTATATTGTGCAGTTTCAGATTATTTTATGTTAGCTTGTACTATGAAAGAACATATTATGATAGTGTTTTGTACTGCATCATACTGAATCATACTGTTTACAACGCATCATGCTGTATTGTTACGTTTTGTGTAATGGCTGTTCCAAGCTACATCATGCTGTGCTGATACATGTTTAGTCAATTCAGTCTGTCTGTTTGTCTGTCTGCCTGCCGTTGTCTATCTGTCTGCTTCCTGCTTGCCTGCCTGTTTGGCTGGCAGGCTGGCTGGTATGTCTGTCTGCCTGTCTGTGTCGACGTATGTATGTATGTACGTACGTATGTACGTACGTATGTATGTAGGTATGTATGTATGTCTGTATGTATGTATGTATGTATTTCGGTGTGCATCAACGAATCCGGCAGGCTGGATGATCTGTCGCTTGAGAAGTATTGAAGCCAAAGCAGAGCACTGTAGCACCGAAGTGTTGGTTTGGGTGGAGAAATGAGGACGATGGCATCGAGCTGTCGGTGGAGGGCATGCCTAGCCAAGCCAGTGGCCGCGCAGCCGAGGCAGAAGTTTACGGTTAAGGATGCCTCACATGATCTAACTCCGACTGTGTTTAGGGTTTGCGGCATTTAGGCTTTGGGCTTCTACTCGCTGTCAGGTGACCTTTGCCGTGGGCGGATTCGCAGCCACTGCGGGGCACCTAGAGCCTGGAGACCCGATGAACCGCCACCAGGAAGGGTGCCACGCATGCTCGTAGAGCGAGTTTGTATCCTGTCTGGGGACAGAATTGCAAGGGACTCAGGCCCTGCGCAGAAAGTACAAACTGCAGTGCCCAGACCTCCTGCTCTTGCCTTGAATCTCTTTCTCGATGACGGTATGCTCCATTCTCTACGAGCCTTGGCAATGCAAGGAGGATGCGGCGAGGTCGAATGCCGTCGATGAAATGTTCGCAGACATCCTCGGTCCCATCGACGAGGAACCCGTCCTGGTAGGATTGGAATCGCCCGGAGTTGTGGATGACCGCCCTCCTTTTAACGACATCACTGCACGTGTCTGCAACTTACAGAAGAAGAAAGTCCTTCATCGTCTCGAAATCAAACCCGTGCAATGCGTCGCAGGCACCGGCGCCGGCGTCTCGACCCAATGAAGCCGGCACCCCATGATTGTCAGTTTGTTGTACCGTTGGGTAAAACAGCTGGTCAACAAATTCTTCATGACCTTGGGGACACAAAACCTTCGGAACTGTGATAGAATGTGGTTCACCGGCTAAACAGAACCACCACCGCCACCACCGCCACCACCACCACCACCGCCACCACCACCGCCACCACCTCCACCACCACC